TATGTATATTGGCTGTATGATTCTTTGTATATTATTTCATTTACTCTTATTCATATTTATAATTTTAGGTATTATTATATTTTAACGTTTAAACGTTTTTAAATTACTTGACTTGTTGCTAAAGTGTATAATAAATTAGGATTATTTGCAGTGGCGCCGAACCCTATGTTAAGGTCGGGCCATGGCCCGACATATTTTGAAAATTTAWGATAGGGCCGCTTCATATTGACCATTTTCCTCTCCACGGTATGCCATTTTTTCCGATATTAAGATGTTGGGCCTCTTGAAATATTTTTCGCCCTACTAGAGTTTTAGGACTTCAGCGCCACTGATTATTTGAATACCTATTGTAAATAAACTTATCTGMAATATATTTATATATAATATATATAGTATTTAAATTACAAGGTAACAAAAATAWGTTCGGTTATAAAGGCTGATTCCTATGGGCYATATAGAAACTACTTAAAATAATGTAAACAAAATTTGTATTTATATAATATATTGTACTGGTAAAGGAACAGGGGCCCCATAATATTGTTTTGCACCAGGGCCCCACGTTATTACCACGGCATCATTTAAATACGTACCTACGACCTATAAAATTATCTGTAATGAATTATGAAATATGAATATTAATTATTGAATATTAACTGTGGACAAATTTTGAATTCACGTAAATAGTAAATACGTAATCACATTATCATAATACATATTTTTATTTAGTATTATAATGATAACGCATGTGCAATAGATATCAATCACCTTCATAATGTTATCTTCAACCCGTAGTACACGTTTATAATGCAGTAGCTGTATCCATTATAATATATCATGATCTAAGGATTTCATACACTATTTTAGATAACCTATCTAATTGTTACCCAATCAAAACAACATATCATCACATAATGTAGACGGACCGACATTAAACAYGAGTGTGTCCTTTTGAAAAATTATTTGAAAATTTGATGTACCCAATACCCACAATATTGTATATGTATTTATTTATTTACCTTCGCATTTGGTGTCAGCTACCATAAAGCCAGGTGGACAATGACACCTGTACGATCCCGGTGTGTTGATGCAAAGTCCTTCACAACCTCCGTTATTTGTCAAGCATTCGTTTACATCTACACGAAACATAAAGACAATAAAGGTTAGTTAATATTATTACTACACACCCGGTAGACGGTAGACCACTGGAGCATAATATTATTATTTATTTTTAAAATACAACTAAATTAAATCAAATACACGTTTAATAAGTTATCTATGCGAAACAAATATAAGGCGCCAATAACTATGTGGGGCCTCTGAATACGAACAACACTCKTAATTTTACTAGAACGTGTATATTGAAAAAAAAATTACAACAGGGACTTGTAAACGTTTTTTTTAGTGTCTAATGAAAGCCTTGACCGTGTTTAGGTGTATTGAACCTCGGTAAAACCGATATTAAATTATTAATACGTCCTACTACTTAGTTTAGTAGCTATATGCATATTATGTTCTTGTAACGTTTTTGGTAAATATTAGTAATTATTATTTATAACGCTGTTGATTTAGTATA